GGCCTAATATCAACCCGTTCTCAATTGTACAGTAAAGGACCTGAAATCACAGAGGATTACCAATAACTCTCTGCACCAGCGGGCAATTTGTAGTCCAACTGGCTCATGTGGTCTGCTTTAAGTCGTCAGAGTTGATGGTCCTGGGTTGTCAGTACGTTTAGAGGCTTGTGGCAAATTACTGATGGCATCACCAGCAAAAAAGGTGTTACTTTGTCAATCCTCTATGCAATCACCTTAATACTGCTTATTTCTTATGAGCATTATAAGTAATTTCAGTAATTTTGACTTTGTTGGCACTGCTTTTTTTGAGTGCTTCCACCTCAAGAATGTTGGTATGTTTTTTTTGTTATTCAGACAGGTGTGTATCTAATTTTGAATACTGTCCCAAAATTAAGTGTGCTTTCTTTTCAAAACCCATAACTACAGACTCTCCAGTAATATCTAATATGATTTACAATTGGCCTCTAGTGAAAAGGTGCATTAAAAAGCATTAAAACTTTGCTTTAATGTTGCTTTAATGTGCAGCAATGACCTTTATTGACATCAACTGACACAACTTGTATGAACATTTCCTTCTCAGTCTTGTCAGATTCAAGTTTGGATCAACCCACTGCACATTTATTTTATTCGCTTCATAATATTTATCAATCTGTAGAGAATTGTTCTTGTTTGCCAAAGCCCTGAACGGGATCAGAGCTTCATGTCACAAAACTCACATTTAAATGGGTTCAGTCCAGTTGTCAACTTTAGCTCAATCACCGCCTCAGCTGAGTAAGCACCAGCAGAAATCCCTTAATCATTTCTGAATGCGCTCAAAAGGCCCAAACAAGTTTCCATGACCCATGTAAACCCCTGGTCCCGGTCCAGAGCCGGTCTCATGTTCTTGGACCTATCCACAGATGGGTCAGAGTGCAGGTTTGTACCATGAAATGAATCCCATCTCCAAGGTTCAGAATTATTAGAGCAGACAGTTTTACAGTTGTGCATGTTCTCTATGGAGCTGAGCAAACACTAGAGCAAATCAAGATGCTGCCAATTAGCTCTGTGCAATGTATCGCATATGTGTCACGTCAGAATATTTTACATATATAGACAGCCTATCCCTAAGATGTCCGGTCGTACATCTGACTCACGCACCTAGAGACTCGAAGTATAATAAATCAAAGCTCTTTATTTTGTAGAGATGTTGATTGAATTTTCCACATTATGGCATTAACGTTAAGCAAGTGACACTATCTGGCTAAATTACAGGTTAGATCTATGGAGAAGTGACTCTGCCTACTATAAGACTGTGCATGTTTACAATTGTAAGTGTATTCTGTAGCACAAAAAATAACAGTAATTGAATAAATGCAAGATAAGATCATTGAAATACCATAGTGTGGAACAACAAACAAGTAGGTGACGTATCCCTCAGAAGAGTAACTAATGCTCCTTTAAGTATAGCTCCTTAATAGTTCATTATGTGTTTTCAGCACACGATTACAAAGCCCTGGACCACAGCATGTTTTCACTGGTGGTCTTGTCTGGAAATTATTTAGTGGAAAATGACAAGTGACACTAAATTATTCATGATACAAGAGCTGGTTTTCCTAATAGTGGAATACATTGTACATTTAACTCCTGTGGACCTGTTAAAATAAGTCTCTGGGGAGTCCTGATTTGGGTTTGTAAAGCTCTTTATCCCACATATACAGCCGCCTTTTATTAACCTCAACTCAGATAACCTAACTCAGTCTCTATTTAACCCAACTGAACCGCACTGATCTATCTCAGCTGTGGCTCCATTTGTTGTAGTTCAGAGCTTTATTTTATTAAGGGCTTTCTGATATCAGATACGCAGTGTGTGACCTAACCACCACTGAACAATGTGTAACTTTGATTTTTTTGTATTCATGAATAAGATATTTTGAGTTATTTTATTGAAATGTACTGCCCTTTTAAAGATATGGGTTAATTCATATTATGTTCAACATTTTGAGAACTTTTCCCCATTCAAAAGATATTTATATTATGTTTTAACCTTTGTATCATCTGGATAACTAAAACATAACTATTATTCTTTATCTTACAAAACAAAAGAGGAGCCACGTCACAATTGGATAGCATTCAACTTTATTAAAAAGAGTATTGTTTCCAAAATACTGACTTTGGTTTACAAAAGGGCTAATACATTTTACATATATACTTGTTTCAGAAGCTGCCTCACAAGAAACTTATAGTGTTAGTAGTGATTCATTGGCCCATTTAGTTATAGCAATTTCGATACATTAAAGGTTCTATATTACACAGAATTGACTCTTGTGAGCTTTTAGCCATGTTAGAATACTGATACCTCCTCAAAAACATACCTGGATGTGTTTTGTTTCATTAACACATGTTTGAGTGATCCTTCATTAGTAGCCTGTCTACCTATCTCCAAAGCTCAAAATGCTTTGTTACACCTTGTGATGTCATGTAGTGATAGTTTTCAAGTTAATAGCTGTATTTTACCTTTAGTTCAGTAGAGACTGGCCATTCTAGGGCTGAAATCAAAATTATTCTAATGAAGATGTAAACACAGTGGAACACTTCCTATGTTACCACCTGACATCACAAGGTGGAACAGAGTATTTTCTGTTTGAGAGAAGAACTCATGTTAAATATGCAGGGTTTGTGTGTTAAACTTATGTGATTGTGAATGAAACAAAACATAACTTTAGGTATGTTTTTTGATGAGGAAATGTAGATTAGAAAACAGTGTAATATGGGCCCTTTAAACAAACTACATTCATGTTGGCAACAGGGTTTGGTAGAGCTTTTTACATGACCAGGTGAGGTTAGACAGTTTGACAATCTTTATATAAAAACAAAATAGTTAGCCGTGACCGATTACATAAATAACTGTAACAGCGCAGATAAGAAAGACCACAGCCGGTGGGACTTCCATGCCAAGTTCACGGTAACAGAGATGCAGAAGTATTTAGTTGAGGCACAGTTTCAGTGGATGTGAAAAGAAAAGCCTGCTGGGTGCGGCAGTGTCCCAATTGAAAGCATATGTTGGATTCATCTCAAAGGTTGAATTGTGGACCTTTGACCGCACATACATCAGCGTGAGTGAGTGGAGACTATAAAAATGCACGTCAAATGTAAGGACGAAGGGGTGACTGAAAACATTTTATTCCTCGTGTTGCTTATAATAAAGTATATCATAACCACAGATAATAATAATGCAATGACTCAAAAGAATGCTATGACTTGTAGTAATATACAATCAAAATGTCTTGTGTGGCTAATGGTCCGGAAACATATTTTCCTGATTTTGTTCATTTGAAAAATGTATCAAAATATTGTGATTTCAAGTCTCTATATTTGAAAAATGATCAATAAATTGCATGTTCTTGCAATATATTCATGGGTTTTCTTCTTGTTGCAGACCCAGTTTTGAGGACTTTTGATATTATTTTTAATATGAATGAGTATTTTGAACCAACAGTCCCAATGTTTCAGTGCTCTGAAACTGATAAATATGTTTAGGTTTTGTTTTTGTAAAATTACATTTAGGACTTTTATTATTTCTACACACAAATGATAATGATGGAAATGATTTTGTATAACTTATGTTGTCTAATTTAATTCTCGATATTAACCATTCATTTAGTTAGAGACTTTTCATAGTCAATAAGATGTGGACTGATCACCTCATAATACAGTTAGTAGCTCTTTCAGAAGAGGATGATCTTTGAATATTGACCAAATTTATCAGCTCTTCCTCGTAGTTATAACCTTCATTTAGTTGCTATCATCTACTGTACATTGCATTAGAAAGCATTTAGTAAGAGTATTCACAATATAAAAATAAACAATTACATATCAAAGAAACATCTCGTAATAAAGTGGCTCAAATATATATATATAATAAAATAAAAACAGACTCCAATCTCACCGCCATCACTATAGTCCCTTTGTCACCTCCATCATGCAGCTGTTACGAATCTATAGCTTTACATTCCTACCAAGGACCGGTGTTGGAACGAAAATACTGCATTTAACTGTACTGATAAAGACGTCAATTCCCTAAATTATATAAACATAATCAATACTAATGGTATGACCAATCAGCTATAACAATGTCCATCAATAAAAGACAGGTTGTCATAATGTTAGAATTGGCGCAGTACTACAGACTAATGGTTTTCACTGAATAAATATTTAGTCTCTCTTTTCCAAATACATGTGGCGTAACAACTGCGATTTCCACCTCATCAAACAAATTCACAATCAAGATCACAACTCTAAAACTGTGACCGTTATAGTTATCAAGCAAAAGTGAAGTACAACATAATGAATCCCTCTTCATATTGAGTACATAAACTGCATATTTTTAGCACCACTAGTTCAGTGCTTAGTATTACCATGCTATCTCTCTTTGTATGCAGCAAGTATATGACATGTAGTAGTATGTCTCCCTGATATTGTCTATGGTCATCTGATACTAGAAAGCTGGGTTGTTGTATAATGAAGGTGGATAAGAAATAGAGTAGATAAGATACAAAGTAGCTGTGATTGGTATTAAACATGCAAAATGTCCCTAGAAACGTATTCATGAACAGTATAAAATAAACATAAGAGTAGTGGAATAACCTGATATGCTGCTGGTCACTACTGGTAAATACTTTTATCACATTATGGTCAGAATATTTTTGTTTGGACGCCAAGTTAAGTATTTAGCATTTTTAAATCTCAGATTGTTTTATCATGGAGCTCAACAGTGACAGCTCGCTCCGATTCTGGAGGTAAATTTCCTGCCACTTTTTCCACAGACATTTCATAAAATTCAAATATTAATAGTTCAAAAACATCACAGAGATTAAGCAGCTGTATAGTACTAATATCTGTAATGTGGTTGTTTTAAGTCCAAAAAGGCAGTTTAAAATGCAAAATTCTGTGAAATGTTTCATTTCAGAAACATATTTTAAATACATTTATGAAAATTATTATATTTTACTTGTGGTCTTTTTTTTTTTTTCCTGGAAAGTATATGAGAAAAAATGAATGGGAAATTTAGTTCTGGAACCATGGGGTGGGGGAGTGGGGTCACTGCTGAGCTCCACTGGGCAGTCATGCCTCTAGTGGTGCATGTCTTTTAGTATGAAAACAATATTAGGCGTTACACTCTTTGAATTGGTCCCTAGCCTGGAAAAACAAAAACAAAACAAAAAACCTACAAAAAACAGTAACCTAAACTGTTTTCAACTAGACTTCCATCAAAATACACAGAAATGGCAGAAAAAAAATCAACTATACATTTAATGGCATAACCATTCATCATGTCGCATGTTCAGATGCTAACAGTCACACCCCATGCTTTTGTAGCTGTACATAGCATTTTTAGGTCTCTTCATGGTTCACAGTTAGACTTGAGTTAAGACTGTGGGTGGTGGAGTTTGATGTTGAAGTGCTGTTTTGAAGGCAGTCCAGCAGAGAGGTGGTGGTGCATACAGCATGTTTAAATACATCCATAGCAGTGATAAGGAGGAGGAGGTATATAGGGTTCACCCTGGAGTAACCATGGCCGACGCACTAGGCTGTCAGAAGTTACAGCTTCTTGTTGTTGCGTCTTCTGGACTTCTTCACTCTGAAATAGAAAGATTTGATTGTTTCTTCCATAATTACTGCAATTTTGAGTTGAACTGTGGGGAATAAAAGCCCAACTATTCATTTTCACACCCATATTTCAATATGGCTAATTCTCATGTCCAACAGTATTTTCTACCGCACGTCAGATCAAGTTCACCACTGGATTAAGGAGTACATTATTGAAGTCATCATTGTAAATACTGGTGGGATGACTTTGTTCCAAAATAATTATGTGAAAGATATGACAAGGGTCACTGCTGCTTTGAACTAGTGCATTCCTTAAGCAAGACACTTTACCCATCTGTCCCAGTACAGTATATGAATGTGGTGAACAAGTAATTGGTGGTTCCCACAGAGGCTGATGCAGGTTAGCAACCTTGGTTCCATTTGCCTGCCCCATGGCAGCTGTGGCTATAGTCATTTACCAGTGAATGAATAATGAGCTGTAAAGTGATTTGGGTGTTTGGCAAGGTTGACATATTCTGTCAAATATATTTAAAAAATGAACCAAAAAACTCAACAATGAAGCATGTAAATGCTCTGATTTGTTTCAGTTCTAATGTACCACCTCGAGTGTTTATGATGTAGTGAATAACAGACGTGCCGTGGGGCCATAATCACCTCCAGGCAAATTATACTCACATTATTTTACGAGGCCTGCACCATTTTTAACTGCGCTGCTTGTTAAAGTTGGAGCAGTTTACTGTGAACATGTTCTATACTGCTAATATGCCAAAAATGTTTTTGTTCTGGTGCTGAATATGACTCTTTGGACATATTAAGGCTTTTGATGGCGCCACAAATTCTGATGTTTCACATTCACAGTGGTTATACCAATTTTCAAAAAGTGACTTTAATATCTTTATAATCTCTCAACAAAGTATTTCCAAACCAAGTCTGAACAATCTGATTAAACAAATACGCAAAAAGGCTGTGTGATATGGCAAAAATATATCACAATATTCTTCCTAGTACTGATCAAATGAGTTCATTTTAACTGTGTTTGATTTTTTTTCTTTCCAAAAACACCCACAAATGTTTTTAGGGTTATCATTTCCAAACACAAATAAGATAAGAGTTTTAATCATGCAATTTAACAGCATTAGTAGATTTTTTTTCCCCACCTTGTTTTACTTTCTAAAACAAGTGTTTTTACTGGCACAGGGATGGCTCTTGATCTCTTGATTAAAAAGAGGCAAGTAGAGCATTGACATTTGACTAAAACATTCTATTAATTGCTGTACTTTTTTCTTTCATTCACTTTATAATTTCTGACTAATTTCTGGAAAAAATACAGCTCTCAAGTTGACATTTCTCACATTCAACTTGTGCATGCTACATTACAAATGGTCCGTTCGTGTAGACTGCGCTGACAGCCTGTAGATTTAGCCTTGTGCTAATAATCTCACAGATAATCCTTCACTCATTGTGTACATTTCAAAGAGAAACTGGCAGCTCCTGAGGTTTATGTTTTCTTAAGTGGCACTCGGGTCGACTAAAGCACTAGATTTATGCCTGAACAGTGTGAGGTGCGAGTGTGTACTTTCTTACTTGTTAATGGCATTCTTTAAGTACTGCTGAAGCCACTTGGTCTCCGGGTTGATGCACACTTCCCTGTTGTTCTTAAGCTTGGCTCTGTAGAGGAAGAAACCATGAAGGTGAATATCCAAATGGTAAAAGGACACTTAAGGTAACTGGAGCAACTTAGCAAATATTTAATAATTTCACGAAGTGCTTAACTCTATTTGCTAAATCTTATCTAAATTTACACATTACACATGCATTGGGTGATAAAACACTTTACCCCAAGATAACTTCAACAAAAATGAAAAACATGGACTGAACTCCTACAGCACATCTAAAACTAAGTCCAAGGATCATCACTTTAAAGCTGTCACTATATTGCGTGAACTAGACCCATAAACATTTAATTTAGTTTTCAAAATCTCAACAACGCCTTGGTTAAACGAGGCATATCCTACTATATGTCAAAACTTAATCCAGGGATTAGAGAGTTTAACTGTATGTCATAGGGCTGTTGGTGGTGAGTCCCAGCTGGCTGTTTTCAGACTCAAGGACAGTTCCTTATAAAGCTGTCCAATAACAACTTGGCCAACATCTTTGATCATGATTTTGCAAGAAAACCAAAAGCTTAGCTGCGGATCAGACAAAATGTTTAACCACAAAACCAAAACAATGGAAGAAATTCAGAATAAATTGGGTCTTTTTGTTCATCAGCCACCACAAAAGCTTACAACTATCAACTTTATGCCAGTTCAAAGCCTGGATAAATTTAAAAGTGTGTGTGACTGTGTGTGAGAAAGACAACCTAAGCCAAATAAATTCTGTTTATTTTTGCAGAGCCCAAAATCCCCACAGCAGTTGCCTCTAAAGGCTTCAAAAAAAGGGAATTTAAAGTGATATATGAAGAGTTAATTTGCAAAAAAAAACCCCAGATAAGTTCTGTTTTTTAAAAGTGATCGGAGGTTTACTCTTTGTATAGAAATGCTAGCCAAAATCTTAACTTATTTTATAGCAATCTAAGTACTATTCCATCTCTCCTTGATAAAAGCTGCTGTATGTTATTTTCATTGATAATATTTGTTGAAAATTGTAAAAAATTGAAAAATACTTTCTTTTGCCAGTTTGTTTTTGCAATTGAGCTCTTCATATGTACTCCAGCTAAGAGCAGCACCATTACCGTTATATACAGTGCCATCACTAAAACTATCACTACTAATATTAGGCTTCAACTAACTACTTACTATTCACTGGATTGTCAATTGTCTCCAAAACTGTCTTGAAATGTTCCCATCTATGCTTTGTTTAACTGCCTGAGCGGCCTTCTTCCAGAACACAGAGGCCTTGTCTCACGCAGCGCCTCATAGGAGCCGTACTGAGTGAGGTTTTGAGCTAAATATTTATGAGCTGACTTGTGTGTTATCAGAATGACGTTCAGATGAGGAGTTGAGTGGGAGGCCAGCGGGGTTTGGAGGATCTGACGACACATTTCAAAAACATGTGGATCTGACGCCTCGGTGGCAAAAGGTCCCGGGTGTGAGTGAGTGCGAGGCCTGGCACCTCCGGTCTATCTGTCCTCCTCAAACCATCAAAACATCCCCTGCTCCCTACACGGCTTTATGATGTCTGTAATATGGTTCGAATTACAAAGTTTAATGTAACAGTAGCATGTTTGTGAATATAGACAGACCCTTTCGCCACTTCTCTGCTCAATGATGGAATGAATGGGAGGGATTTTACTATCTTTCTATATTTTTTATTTTTGCTTGTACATATACATTTATATAATTATGCCTTATCTGACACCAAGCTAGACTACTACTACTACTACTTCACTACTTATTTATCTGTGTCCAAATATTTTCTCTTATGAATCTATGAAATTTGTCTATCTTAATTGAAACTTTTTAATGGAAATGATTAATCTTGGTGTCCCTACTGTATGTATTTGTGTATTTACAGTATATTCTATTTAGTCTATTTTTATTCAAAAATCTTATTTTATGCATGTGCTTATTTTAGTTCTATATTGTACTATTACTTTTCATTGCTTTATGCTGAACCATTTCAACAAAACTAATTCCTAGTCGTGGCTTTTGTTCACTGAGTGACGATAGCTTTTTCAGATTTTTTCAACTACCTAATTTGATTACTGTAATAGTGTAATTCTGCAATTAATATGATTTTTTTCATATATAATCAAAATTGCCTTTTGATCTAATCTAATCTAATCTTAGTCAACATCTTTTGTCATTTTGGTGTATTTCATGATTTGTTAGAACTAACTGGTTTTGTTTGCTTTTAGAGTCAATCAATTCTTCTCAAATCCTAATATTCCTTTAACACACACCTCATATAAGCTACATATCACAGCATGTATTTACATTTCTAATACTTTCTGCTTTCAGGCCTTAACCTGTAAGTTTTAGCCACACAGACCAGACATCAACCCTGCAGTCCCACATCTCTGTAACAGTGTTTACCTTTGCCTCCCTCCTTCCTGCTTTTGTTTTATTAGGGGTGGCCCTGCTCATCTCCTCCTGTTTTGTGTTTTGATGTGTCTGCCTGTTTGGCCTGTCTGGGAGAGGGGTCTGGACCAGCTGACACAGACCCCCCTTTGTCCTAATTGACTTGGCTGGAATTTGGGCACTGGGGTTCCACTAGCAGCAGGTAGTAATTACTTGACAGTGAGTTAAGACCAACTACATACTGGGATGGCCGAATGTGATGGGACGAGGTCGGGGAGAACGGGGGTGGGGGAGAGCAGGGGTAGTGTTACGGGCCTGTCTTTCATCTGTTCTGAAAAGAGATATAAAGATTTGCCTCCTGTGGATAGGTGTGGCCATGGATGACTCAATTGTCTTTTTTTTTTTTTTTACCATTAACCACAACTTTTTTTTTTTCAATTTCTCATATCTTCACCCTAATGTTGTGCGATTATAGGAGATTTTTGGCATTTTTATGCAATACAATAATAACTGAGTTGTAGAGGTGGAATAAAGAAGTTCATTCTGCTATTTATTTGTTGCAGCTCAGGCCTTTTAATGATACTGTATGTACTTTGTCTAAAAACTGGTTTACTAGAATTATTCTCCTTTGTGTAAGTAGCATAAAGTGGTTTCAGTATTATCTTTTATTTTAGTATTTCTCTGTAGCAAGATATCATGCTTCAAAATTTGTGTTCGTGACAGGACTCTGGACAATGAATTTTGCAATGTATAGTTAAACAGACAAATACATGATTTATTGATCCCCAATGAAATTCACAGCTCAGCAGCAGCTACATACTGTAGAAACAAACATAGCAACATGTAAAGATGTATTAAAAGTATAGTGGCTTGGTAGAAAATAATCATATGAATGTATAAAATGTCAACACAACTGTGCCAGTCCCAAGCCTGGCTGGATTTGTGGAAAGTTGAGTGATAGCACCAAGAGGCCTTTTTGTGAAATGAATGGGCAATACCTTAATATGTTTTCTGAAATGTAGTAAAGTTACAATTATGACGTAATTGCTGGCTTTCACATGAAATCACACCATTTTATAGGCCTGTAATGTTTAATACATATGGGGGCAACTAAATTTAATGTTGTTAAAATGCAGATTTTTATGGTTACACAGCAAGTTAGAGTTTAGTCACTAATAGAAATGATCAGGTTCAACATTTGTGAATTTTTCTTTTAGATACTTCTCATAAGAATACCATCTAATCAATGAAACATCAGTACTGTGGTGAAACTAAAATGCACTACAACTTAAAATAAAAATGTACAAAACAGATATGTACTTGCACGTAATACTCTGAGGTTTTCTCTCAGTACAGTACAGTCTCAAGGCGACTATGAGGCACAATGGGTCACTCGTGAGACAAAGAAAATCGCATTGACCTATAGTTATTGCTTCCTTCATGACACAAACCCAACTCCGGCCATTAACACTTTCTCTGGAATGTCACAAAAGAATGGAAGGATATAGCAGACATATATTATGTTTTGTCAAATAATATACCGGCAAAATGTATAAGTGAATATGAATTAAACATATTAAATGTATTTCTCTATCTATGGCCATAGTAAGAGTTCAATATAGCAAAAACAGACTGCTTTTTGGAAAATTGCCAAAAGATTCGTTTCTGTTTTTTTTTGTCAAGAAGGAATAATATTTTGACAGTAATAAAATATATAACTACACTAGGAACTACAACTACAAGCCTCCAATGACTTTTTCAAACGGCACTTATCTGTTTTTGCAAATGAACTCCTCACATTTTCAAGTGTAACCTGTTTGGAAACCACTGATAGATTTTATTTTATTTTTTTCCCAGTAGTAAAACATGTTATTGGGCATGAGACTGCAGTACAATGCCTCAAACTGCACGTAGTCCCTCTAAACTGTTGCTCATATCTGCAGATGGATCAGAGCGATATGACCCTAATATAACTCTCTGTCAGAGCGGACTCTGGTTCATGAGGTGTGAATAAGACGCCACGCTCAGGTACGGCCAGGTATTTGGGTATGGGGTGTGGCGTATAAGTATTTATTACACAGTGGGGACTAAAATGGGGACCTGGCTCATGTATGAGGCCAAGAATCTGGTCCTTATGATGTAAATGCTTTATTGTTTGATCAAAAATGTGATTTAAAGTGAAGTACTGAGTTGAGGTTAGGGTTTAGGATAAAGTTAGGCACATAGTAATTAAGGTTATTATCAGTGTCCAGGAAATAAATGTATGAGCCATATCAAATTTCTGATAATATTTGTGGTATTTGGATGTTATGAAATGTTCACCTGGCTCTCCCTGAACACTGCCCTGGAGAAACACTTTTGGCTCTTCTTGTCCTCAAACTGCCCCTGCTGACCCTCCTGTTAAACTGCACTGAGACTTTTGACTGAGACAAAGGTGACAGAAGTGCAGTGTAAAACTTCAGCAAAACTTGAATTTCCCTTGGGATCAATAACGTACCTCTTTGTCTTTCTAATTATGCATGCACTGCTGCTGATCTTCATCTTATTTGTGAGGGGAGGCAGGCAAAGATTATGACTAAAGAGACAAAAAATGCAAACTGTCTGAGGCACTCTGTCTTTGATAGTTGCTCAGATTCACGCCAAGAGATTGTGATGAATTTCTATCAGTAAAACCTGGGGCAACTTAAACACCAACCGCGGAGGCTCTGGAGAGGATTAACTAATAGTGAAAAAGATAATATGTGAGGAAGGTAATCAGAATTTATAGCTATAACTTGAATAGCTCGAAACAGTTGAGTACAAATGATATAAAAGCCTTTGTTAAGCAGATAAACTGTCAAATTGTTATCACATTTTTTTCCCTTTTATATCGTGTGTGTGTATGTGTGTGTGTGGTAACAGGTTGATGTGTGCAGAGGACTCACATGACTTGAAAGGGGCAGTTGGGTGTATGCAGAAACTTGAGCTCTCTGATGCTCCTCTGTGGGACCGTGTTCAGAGTGGAGCGGCACCAGCAGCGCTCTACCAGGCTGATGGGCTTCGCTGGAGAGACACAAAACACACACAATATTATGGACAAATGTTATAGAAAAATATGCTGATTCTTAAATAATGTTTTTAATTGACCAGTGTAAATGACTGAGTGGGTAAATTCATAAAATACAATATACAACGTTAACAAAACTTGGACTGAATGGTCTGGGTAAAATCTAGTCAGGTGTGATGTGAAAATTCAAACAATGAGTAAGTGGCATATAGTTTTAATATTGTAGTTAATTATGATTTTCCTATGGCAATATATGATACTTCAATGTGTTTTATTGGTTTTATTATGACAGGCTTAGTTGGACCTAATTTTTTAGCAGCGATATTATATTTTCACATTTTCACATGATTTTCACAATTTGTATGTTGTTTGTTTTTTAATATAAATCTACTTATTTTTTCTATGATCTTATACTGCATCACTTGGACAAAACAGATAATGGACAAACTTAAGTGTTCAGTCTGCTTTAACAAAACCTGGGACCCTATGACTTTACTTGCTCCTGTCCAAACAACAAGGCGCTCATTAAAAAGAGATTAGACCTATTCTTTCTTTGCGTTCACGAGGCATTCACTGCCCTCTCATACACGAGGGCCCTCCACAAGCAATCTACAATTTTTGGACTGATTTGTAAAAGGCACTCCAGCCCCAACCCTGTTCACCTCCACTCAACAAATACTACTCAACCAACTTGGTGCAAATTATCGCAGTGTTTCTATGGATGCGTACTCACAACACATGTTATAACAATAGAGAGAGCAATGGTGAGATGCAATGCACAAAATAACTGAACACATTTAAGTACAATAATTAAATGTAGGTTTAATTGTAAAGTAATAACGGTCAATGGATGTTTGAGGTATACAATCATCTTAAAGTGTTTTAATTCACAAACTGAATAGTTACATTGGTGCAAAGTATTGCTTAAAGATTGACTGCGTTTCCAACTCTTTGAAATACCATTGCCAGATGATGATTGTAGATGAAGTAAAAGGATGAAATTACACATTCTGCCTTATATCAGGGTGAATGGACATCAAAGAGAGCAGCTTTTAAAAGTAGTCAGTCAAATGTAGCAAATTGAATAATAAAAAAACCCTTACTGATTACTGATATTATTTAGTTTCTACTTCTATCCATAGGTATCAAAGTGATAGAAAAATATGTGGGCAGAGCAGTTAATAATTTAAAACAGACAATTTTATCGTCTGAATGTAAAAAAAATCCTCGAAATGTGGAAGCTGAAACCCACGTATTCTCTTTTACTGCAGTAATACTACTACAATTGATTTTCTCTTCCTATTTTCTATTTACAGTCTATGTACTCTGAACATTATTGATTAGTTCGTGGTCATCCTCCAAACTCACATCAGCCACACCAGAATCTTTAACATATCTTTGTTGTGACTTTCCTCCACAAATGGTAAATCCTCTCTTATATCACACTAATGATCCCGGCCTATTCACAGCTTCATTCTCATGCAAAAAAGCAAATCATTATAACACGCAGCAATGCCAAGGCAGGAAAGCAGATAGCATTGTTTATCTCTAATTAGAAAGTCATTAAACCAAAACAAATACACACATTAAAAATGTTAAATATGCCGGACTCCACAGGACCAAAATAACAAGATTAGCATAAGGCATAAGGTGGTGTGGGCAGTTGACACACGCAGAGGTGGAAATGTGGGGCAGTGCCAAGAGGCTTAACATGAGATTTAACATGAGATTTAAGATTAATTTGGATTAATTTGGATTTATACAAGAAAATCATGCACATTACACACAAAGGGTTTAAGAGGCTCACGTGAGGCAATGCCACTCTATACGTGAAGATCTTTGAACCCACCAAGCAAATTTAATTACATTTTTTGGAATTAGTATAGCTGGTTTTTGTAGCAATTTTGTAATGAAATTGTAAAATTTAAATCATTTTACAATATGCAGTCAGTGTAGTGAACACATTGATAAATCTCTATATGCCGATAAACCCAAATTTTATGGGAAAGTACAGTACTTTCTAATTCCAATCAATAAATTAATACATATAGAAAAGCAAATCTTGTTTGTAAATTTCCACAATATATTCAGATAACTAGAGATTTCAGTTCATTTGAAAACAGTGCTCAAAATGTTAAACTGTGTCTACAAAGAATAAGAAAAGCAACAAAGCAAAAATGTTTTAACTTTGTAAACTTGTAACTTCTAATTTACACAAAAATATTAATGTTATTTTTTTATCATAAATTACAAAAAGCACTTATTGTTCCAAACCATGCAACCTTTCACTCACACTTTACTGAAGGTTTTACAAAATTAACTATTAAACTAATATTAGTATCAGTAATTCTTTGACTCACCAGTGGTCAGCGGCGTGTGGGTGGCCAGGAGCAGCAGTGCCACGAGCGGCAGCAGTTTGACATCCATGTCGTCAGGTCACTGTGAGAAGAGCTCTGTGTCTGTGTCTGATACTATCCCGGCTACAACTGAGCCCGCAGCTCCACTCTCCTCTGTTAAATCTACTGAGGAAGGAGCCCTACCACTTTCTCAGGACGGGCCCATAGGGGGAGAGAGAGGGGGGGGGGTCACAGTGTGAGGAGGGGAGGGGTCACAGGGACTTCCTCGATTGTGAATGTGTTGGCTCTGTATCAAGGAGAAAGTCTGGGGGGAATTCTCGCATTGTTTCTGTCCATTTGAGTGTGTAACTGCTGTCCGTGCCCCTTCTATTACACTGTGCAACTTTGTAATGTATGTCATTGGAATTCACAGGTTTTGTGTATTTTTGTGCCCTTGCTGTGCCCTCTCCCATCTGGCATCCATTCATATCCTGCTTTATGTCTTTATTAGCCTTTTTTAGAACACTGTCTCCCATGGTGAATAACAGTCAAAATTATATTAAAATATGAGGGAGGTTAAATGTTGGATAAAATTTCAGAGTATTTACAGAGGATAACAGTCTCTCTTTCTCTATCTCTCTGCCTCTCTCTGTCTCTCCGTCTTTCCTTTCTCTCTCTCTCTGCCATCACTTATGACCAGATGAGAAAGCTGTCCAAAATTGTATCCTTGAAATGCCGGTGGGTTTCACAACAGAGTCCATGAGGCTTCAAAGAAGTACCTCATTGATGTAGTTAATACAAACGTCCAGTGATTTCATAGATATGTAATATGTATATGTTTAGTCTGTCATTCACCTGCTATGATGACTGTCCATCCCCATGTGAAAGTGACTTAAGTCTGGACATGCACATGCCTTTAAGTCTTTAATCTGTCATACTAACAAATGGCAACTGTGGAACAAGTCCAGAATAACTTCACTCTGCAAAAAGCTGGGGACCACAACAATACAATGTTTTTTCTAAGGTATTGATGATCGTGATCTCCCTCTGCTTTCTTTGCATGCTGCAACAAAACAATACATGTAGGCATATACAGGCTTTTATAACTCTCCTTGAAATTATAGTGACAATTTTGATTTTCAAATATATCACAATACAGTTACATCCCGCCTAAGAATGTCCATGTTCAGAAAATCAGAGTATTGTTTTCTTTTGTAGGCTTGAAATTACTTAAAACATGTGTCCTGTGTTTACAGCTGCATATTCAAATCTTCTCGATGCCAAAACTGGATGTAGGCCCGCTGGACCTCATTCAAACCCCCCTCCCTTCTCCCCCTCTCCCCGTCCTGTCACCACAGGCTTCACTCTCACTATTAGAAGCAGCCTCTCCACAGTCTGCTGGCTCTGGTCCGATCACTGTTAAAAAGCCTGAATCACCACCACCACCACCACCACCCTGCTGCTGCTGCCACTGCCCTCACAGGTGGAACAGCCGTAAAGACATCAGTTGAACCACAAACTCCTCAATATAATGGCCATTAACAATGCCCACATGAAACAAGGCTCTGTCTGACTCACATGCTCCATTTTACTAGACGTTTCACACAAACAATGGAGCTTCACTGATGTTTATGTCCCAAGAACATCACAGCGTTGACCCAAGTTATAAATACACTTTATATGTTTCTTTATTTTTTTGTGAGGAAAATCATTACAGTAGTTTTTGCAATTCGGAATCATCTTTTGAATTATTACATCTTAGATAAAATAATTAATTTACAACAGAGTATATTTATTATTCATATTTTTTCTGCACAAGCATTAGTTAATATATGTTTTTGGTAGGTTTGCAATGCATCTCGATTTAACAATTTTACTGTGTAGTGGAGTAGCCTAACATGGGCAATAATCATTCACATTAAAACTTCAATTTTTTCCCATATAACTGAAAAAAGAATGGACTAAGGGAGTGTGGGGTCACCCATAGCGTCCGGCTCCATACAAATGAAGCTCACCGAGGCTAGCAGTTATAGGGGCGAGTCTGGAGCTCAGAAAGAGGAATTTATTTGTGGACAAAATAACAAAATAAAAACATGAGGATCGTGTAGAGCAGGCTAATACAAGCATTTTAAGACCAAAACGAGGAGCCTGATAGCAGCAGTTATGGAGAGAGGGGAAACATTTTAATACAAAGTGAATGAAAGCCATAAGATTTATTTGGAATACGGCGGCAAACGAGTTAGCTATGTCAATTTTATAACGTCTGTGTTTTTTTTCCCCTCTTTTGATCCTTTTTTAATTAAGGAAAAACTGATGTGGTATTGTTCTTTGGTTGGATTAATTGGCCCTGACATAAAAACAAAATTGGATAGCTTTAACGAATTGATAAACGCTCTACTTAACTTGTTGCACATAGCTGGAAAACAGATGTGAAGTAGTGAGGCATTCAGTCACTCCTATTAAAACACAATGACTGGATTTCCTCTGTTCTGTAACATATATGTACCAACCCCCATATTCCCCCTATACTAAAAACATACATACCTATCATCACCTCACCAAATTGCATTTACCAGTGAAGACTAATGTCACCAGTACTTTAGCGGGGCAAGCACTAACATCCTACAGCTCAGATAGCTCACACTGTAGCGCCCATGTGGGGTCAAAGGTCGCCGTTTCATGTCCTGTATTGGGTTACGGTGGAGGGTTGCCAGCGCTTTGTTCAGGGTCGGTCATGATAGACAGACTCACCGAAATGACTCCAGCGCTGAGGGACAGAGCGGAGAGCAGATGCAAACCAGCCCATTTAAACGAGCTAACCAGCCACGGAAGACGTATTAGCTGCAATAAAGGCATTTTTACTCCAATCGTACAGAGACTGGTGCTAGTAAAAGTCCACTTGATCTCAACAGGATGCGGTTGAGGTAGAAGTGTTTGGGTTTTTTTTTAACAAGGAATGATAAATACCAATTCTCTTATGTGACATTTTTATGAAGATTTGTTTCATTATTACATTTTATCTCCACTATTAAAGGGTTGATTGTTATGAGTTTGTTAGGCGTTAGCGAGAAGGAAAAAAAGGTTGGATGAGTGTGTGTGTTGGATGAGTAGTTAGTCGGGGGAGAAATAATTCAGTGCTTGTTATGCTTCCAATTATAGATACATCTGGAATGACGATTTACCTTTGTTTCAGTTTACAGTTTTAATATCCTTGGGTTTCAGAAATACAAAAATCAGAACAGTTGCCATAGCAATTAACAATTTAAAACTAAATATTACATCTTTTGAATAAGAGTTGTCAAAATGTTGAGTTGCTGAAGCTGAAACCCATGCCGTAGAACCAAAAATGTAAACTAAAAAAAGGAGAAACCTCATTTAACCTGTAAGTTACAACTTTTTATGACTCTATGGTTATTTATGACTGCATTTGATTTTGAAATTGGAAATATCTGGATGCTTCAGGACGCTGCTTTGAGTAAAATATGACTCTTAATACAGTTTTCCACAAACTTTCTGTTCTGTCGTAAGTTAGATTCAAATGAAAGCACATTGAAAACCTCAAATAAGCACATTGAAAACCTCTAACCGCCTGTATGCGCAATGTATGAACCCCAGACTGCCCCTCATCTTTCACTAACAGGTGTACCATACAGCCCCCATTTCCCTCTTAAAGCTTGTCTGTGTATAATATGATCCAAATAAACATGTCTAATCTTGCTTCTAATCTCTCATGTTATGGCCAACCTGGACTTCTCCTGTCGCAGACCTGTGGCACTAGAGGAGATTGCTTTTTAGGAGTTTATTGTGTTTGTCCAGCAGTTTGAGTCTGGAGATCACTTTTATTTTTACGGTGGCAGATGAAAGCTCTCCATCCACTGAAGCCTAGATAAACAGTAGTAGCACGACCACAGCCAAATTGACTCATATAAACATGCATTTATCAACACAGGGTCTCAGGAGCCACCAAAGGATCATAAGTGGAAGTGTTGAGTGCGGTTGTGATTGCAGAGTTAAGAGCATATTATATTCCATTAAACACAGATCATGGCTGTAAACTCAGAGTGGTCTATGTGTTTATGGTAGTGATTTAGCTGGGACTGCCCTAACAGGATAAACGGGGGGGCTGAGGTGTGTGAGGGGAGGATGGGTGGAGGTGGGTGGGGGGGTCCTCTTATCAGTTAGCACGTTCTCCACCAAGTCTCTGCAGCTGTTTTCACAAGGACTTACAAACTGTGGGGACATTTACATGACTTAAAGTAGAGGTAAATTTAAGGTGACAAAAATAAATCGTACCCAGAATAATGCAAATTTAGAAATGATACAATATGGTGCAAAAATGTGAAGAAGGTCACTTCTTAATAGAGGTGGGACCAAGTCGTTGTTTTGCAAGTCTCAAGTAGTATTAGTCTCAAGAAATCTTTGACCTCAAGTCTGAGTCAAGTCAAATACAGGCAAGTCCAAGTCGAGTCTCGAGTCACTGGCCCATGAGTCCAAGTTGTCTACTTTGAGCTTCAAGTCATTTCAAGTCCAAATGTAAAACCAAAATACCAAATATAGCTTAGATTTTTACAATTTATATGAACTTTAAACTAAATTGTACTTAAAAAGTCGTTGTATATTTATATGAGTATTTATATAAGAGTTGTACAAATGTTTCCATTTTAAATGTCCTGACAAGATTTTAGTGTGAATTATTACACACAGAACAGAAAGAAGTCAGAGGTAAAACTCCTAAAAAAGTTATTTTTTCACATAGTTTGTTCTGAAATGGAAGAGTCATGTTCTATGCAGTTCTCTGTTATACTGTATCATACTGTATATTACTGTAGTACATTTGAGGATATCACATCACAGTACTTCAGTTACATCCAAAGTACCAAACAGAAGTGGGAGCGACATGTTAAAGTTTGTTCCTGTAAAAATTAAGAACTGCATTTATCAACTGAAAAGAGAAAAGTATTTTCTAAAAACATTTTTTAGGAGAAACATCAAGTCTTCTCAAGTCACTGGCCTCAAATCAGGGTCAAGTCCCAAATCACTGCCCTTCAAGTCCAAGTCGAGTCCCAAGTCTTAGTCCATTATATCAAATCAAGTCTCAAGTCCTAAAAATAGTGACTCAAGTCTGACTCGAGTCCAAGTCAAGACTTGCAAGTCCCCAC